AGAATAGAATAGAATAGAATAGAATAGAATAGAATAGAATAGAATAACTTTATTATTTGTCCCAGATAGTGACAAATTTTATTTTGGGGTCCAACAACAGCATACTTGCATAAACACACTCAAATACACATAAAAACACATTAAAACACATAAAACGGACTGTTAAAAGCAACTGTTAAAATCAATTACAATACTGTTATTATTTAAAAGCATTCAGAGTGGATATTTCAAGTGAAATAAATGACGTTTTTTTATGTTGCTTTCCGGGCCAGGGAAGGAACTTTGAACCTTCTGCCTGATGAGAGCAGCTGGAATGAGTGATGGAGGGGATGAGATAGGTCCTCTGTGATCAGGGTGGCCTGATCTGCAGGGATGTCAGGCAATGTATTTGTTTGAGGAATGCTATGGTTTTATCGATTTCTAATCTTGAAATTCCCTGCTGGAAATGACACATTTTGAACAACAGATATATTCAAATTGTACCAGCAATAAAAAACAGATAAATTGTCAAATCTAAAGTCACAGGTTACCTGTTTTGTTGTTCATTAGTTCTATAAATCCTTAATAAAATCATTCTCTCATTTCAGGGTTGCAACAATTTCTTCAATTCCAGCTGGTGGATCTCAGACTATAAATTTTAATTCTGCAGTGGAGGGGCCAAACTGGTGAGTCCTGATTTTATTAATTCCAGTTTATTTTGTAAATGGTTTGTAGTGGTAGTAAAACACGAAACTAAAACTAAAACAAAAAAACGTTTTTGATCCTGTCAGATGTGGAGACACAGTGAAAATGGGTGGTGGGAGTTGGGCTCTTTTCAGTCTCCACAGGAAGTTGAGAAGCTCTTGGGCCTTTTTAGTAATAAAGTTGGTATTGGGAGACCATGTGAGGTTATCTGTGAAGTCATCATCAAGTAACTTGGTGCTCAGAACAATCTCCACCAGCGATTTATTGCCTCATAAAATCAGCAACCATCTCTTGTTTTGTCAGCATTCAGTGATTAATTGTTGGTTCCGCACCAGTCTGTTAGATGTACCTCCTCTTTGTATCCGGTCTCATTTTTACCACTGATCAGACCCACCACAGTTGTATCATCAGCACAGTTGATGTGGTTGGAGCTGTGGGCTGGTGCACAGTCATGGCTCATCAAAGTAAGTAGCGGTGGGCTGAGCACACAGCCCTGAGGGGCTCCGTCATAAGCATCGCAATCTTAATAAGTGAAGGGGACATGTCCCTTCACATTTCAAAAGTATCCATTTGGACCCCTTCACATTTATCATCAGTCCACACAGTGCTGTTTTTTATTAGGGGACTTGATGAAAGAAWTCATTCCACTTGATTAGTAGAGAGTCTCATCCCACTAAAAGTGCGCTCTGGGTTCATGGTTAGCCTACCTGTAATGAGTCAGCACCGCAGCCTGCAGGTACCAGGCAGAAACAAGGGGCAACTAACTTACGTCAGACTACTTGCACCAGGTTAGACGGGRGGAAGATGCATGAATATCCAACCTAAAACTAATTTCCAGCTGTTACTGGAATGCAGCGTGGGGAAAGATGAGTAATTGTTCAGTATCTGATCCCTCTCTAGACACACAGATCATTAGAGATGCTTTATAACAAGCTGGAAGTAGGTCAAAGTCTTCACTGGACAGTTTTTCTTGTTTAAAGTTTATGCAGTTAGCTGCAGGCTACAGCTAGCTTATTGCTGCTAGGCTATCTTAAGCACAAGCTTAAGCTTAGCATAAGCAATCAAGAAAATGTATAATGTGACCAATTATTTCTGTAATTTACAGCATCTGCTAAAGTGCACAGAGTGATCAGCTGGTATTCTTGTTACCAGCAAGAATAAAATGATCACATCAGAGAAGTTTGTTGGGTGTTTTTATCAAAAAATAAAATGATCGCATCCTAAAATATTATGAGATTAGCAGTTTTTTTTTTTAGAGTTTTAGCATAAAACACAGCTTGATTCATGTTGGACAACTTTAATATTTAATAGTCAGATGATTAGACTGTTGAGTCACAGCCACTAATGAAACAAGACCAAATTTGTCATCTGTTAGCTGTTTATTGATGTTTTTCATGATGTTTTCTTGACTTTTTCAAGCTGACCGACTTCAGCTGGCAGTAAAAACTAATACTGAATCCTTCTTCATGTCTTATGATGCAGGAGCTGAGGAGAGTCAGCAGGTAGAGACAAAGATCCATGGCTCAAGTGAGTGATGAAGGTGCTGCTGGGAYATTATGAATGAAATCTAAAATGTTTACTCAAATCATTACTTATTTTGAGTACATTCACCTGTGTGAACTTCATGAAATACATTACTGGGTTAAAGGCAAAATTTTTATTCTTAAAAGGCGGCTTTTAGCAAGACCAGAGGGACACCACTTACGACAGCCATTCTATAGTGCAGTTTGAAAGTTGGAGAACTGTGCTTCTATAAGAATATGTAGTATAAGTTACTGAAACTCAAAATTTATATACTTTAGCATTTTTCAAAAAGAGACGCTGACATTGAGCAAATCCACATATTTTGCTACTTGAGTTCAAAGTTTTATTAATTGTTGAAAATCCTTGATTTTAGTGCATACACAAAAATAAAAAAAAACAGTATGTGAGAGAGAATGATGGCAGAGACGTTTAAATCACTTTACAATAGGAGGTCCAGCATGTATTATTTTTTTAATGACAAAATAAATAAAAACAACTAAACAACGTAGTCTCATTTTCTCTTTCCAGTAAACGTGGCTCTGCGTGGCAAAGCAACTCAGTCTCATCGCTACAGCGGAGGCCGGAATGTTTTTGCAGCTGCCTACAATGCTATAGATGGAAACAGAGATCCAATCTTTGACCATGGATCCTGCACCCACACTGAAACACAGCTCAACCCCTGGTGGAGAGTGGATCTGATTGACCGTTATATAATCGACCGCATCATCATCACCAACAGAGGAGACTGTTGTGAAGAGAGGATCAGCGGGGCACAGATTCGCATTGGTAACTCTTTAGTGGACGATGGTATTGCAACTACACTGTGAGTTCGATTTTTCTCAACATAAGATGATCTC